ATGTATTATCACTCACCTATTGAAAATTTTGAAAGTTTATCTTTATTGGTAATTATCTATCTGTTTAGAAATATCTATTTTGGGCTATCGGTGGAGGATAGCTATGATTGTTGTAGAAATTGCATGTGAATTAGGAGAATTGAAACTATTTTCACATTTATTTGCATTGGGCATAATCTTACATTTACGAATTGTCAAATGTTTATTATTTTGAGAAAAATGGTGAATTTGGAAAACGTATATTGTCTCATTGAAATTAGTTGGTCCGAGTGTCCATGGTGAAAGTCCTAAAAACAGCACGTATACATAGGTGTCGATCCCGTGAATGAAATATCCGTAAAATGGCAATAGTAGTGCTTGTATAGCCTATGTTTATATGGGTGCCGGCTTACGGTTTCCCACAGACAAAATTTTCGTGAAAGGTTGTGTTTGTTTTGAAATTCTTAGAGTGTGATTCACTGTCCTATTTTCTATTGTAAAGGAAATGATTTATGAAGTATGATATTAATTTGGCGTTACATGGTTTTGGAAAAGAGATGAAAATTGTTTTGGCATGAGTATTGGATATGCATCCACCTAATATGTTTGTTAAGATTCATATACTATGTTGGATTATTTCTACTGAGTTTTGGCTCACCCTATGTGGGAAAAACATTTCAAGTGCTGGTGACATTTCTCCGCCAAGGCAATAGCTTGGAAGGACTTTGAGCAAGAGCTTCATTTTGTTAATTGTTGTATATGTTTTTGTACTGGCTATGGGCCTTTAACTGTATTGGATTTAAATCCACTTTTGTGTAACCAAGCACTATCTTGGAAAGCTGTAAGCCTTTAGGGTATTTATTATCTATTTTACTTTCATATCTTACCTCTTGTTGTAACATATGCTATAGATTCAGGGTCAGACTTGTGAATGTATATCTACATATGTTACCCTTTTGTACAAGCAACTGGATTAATAAAAGATAATTACTTCATTTGTTATGTAATTAATATTGAGGATGGGTTATAGCAATTATTTCGGGTGTTACACTTTTTGAGTCACTTCTCATCTCTCTCTAAATATTTCAAAACTAGTGGAGACCCTCTCTTTCTCTCTCTGAAACTCATCTTCTACACTCAAATACACCTAGATCTGTTGATTTTTACACCATAGTCCCTTTGTTAAAAAGGTAGAGCTCATCTAGAGCTTCGTTCGAATCGGAACAAAGTTGGTTTTCGGTGTCATTGAGGTTTCTCCACTCTCTCTCTCTTATCTTCTAAGCTTGAGGTAAGGATTTCTCTGCACTTTCTTATGATTTTGATCTTAGTTATTTGTTTTTTCTAAAACAATATTGTGGTTTGGGAATTTTTGAACAAAACTAGGGTTTTGGTTTAAAAATTAAAAGAGGGATTTTCAAATGAATTCTTGAAAATGGTTGTGGGATTGTAAATGAGGTTGAATTGTGATAAAATGGTTTGTTTTGATCATTGGGATTGATTTATAAAGAAAAAGGAATTATTCCCTAAAGATCTCAAATGATAATTTTGTAAAGATAGATGGAATTAATGTTGAAATTGTGAAATTGGATTAATATTGATGAGAATGGTGGAGTTGGATATGTATTATCACTCATATCTTGAAATTTGGAAAGTTTATCTTTCTTAGAAATTTATCTATCTGTTTAGAGATATCTATTTTGGGCTATTGGTGGACGATAGCTATGATTGTTGTAGAAATTGCATAAGAATTAAGAGAATTGAAACTAATTTCTCATCCATTGCATTGAGCATTGTTGCATACTTAACACATTGAAATTGTTTATTGTTTTGAGAAAAATGGGTGAATACCTTGGTAAATCTGGGTAGGGGTGTGGTTGTGATACTATGTTGACCTGCGTGTCCTTGGTGAAAGTCTAGAAACCCATGCGATTAGGTGTCGAGACTTCCGGTTAATATCGATAAAAATGACAATTTGGTAGTGCTTGTATAGCCTGCTTGCAGACATGTACCTAGAGATTCCTAGAGTTGTACTCGCTACCCTGTTTTCTATTGTAAAGGAAATGATTTTATAAATTGTGATATTAACGTGGCATTGCACGTGTGATACCCCTGTTCCGTAATACGTTAATTGGTCCTTAATACGAATGTGATTATGCGTTTTGATATGATTTTGTGTGCCATCATGTGAAAATATGTGGTTTTGAATTTCTATCTGTTCACCGTAGGAATACCTGTTTGATTATCTGCTTTGGAAATTAAATTGAAGGCCTTATCGGCCACAGAACCTGAAATTGATTGCGCCATTGTGATTGGCATAATTTTTAGAGCCTACGGCGAAATTTAATTGAAAATTGATTTGGATCAAATTAAGTTGATTAAATTAGTGAATTAGTGCCCCATTGCTTTATTATTATTATAATGCCAATAGTGGGTTTTGTTGGGTAAGGGCACTACACCCTCTGTTCTCTCTTTATGCTTCATTTGACTGATTTGGGACTCAAAATTAGAGGAGAGCCGGCTGTAGAGAGAGAGGGAGAGGAGAGAATTGTGCAATTTTAGCTTAAAGCTTGGGAACCTTGAAGATTATCCAAGAATTTGTTATAGATTGTGAGAATTAAAGCTTCTAGGTGAATAATTCTTGGATTATAGTTTGTAATTTTGTGTATTCAAGCTAGTTGGGTGATCAAGAGTAAGATTGAAATGAAATTGGATTGGTTTTGTTGAATTGAAGCTTGATATGTGCATGCATGTAAGAAATTGCTTTGAAATTTGCATGTTTTAGCACAAATATGTATAATCCATGTGAAATATTAAAGGAAACTCATGTTTTGACCACCTCTTCACCAATTAAGTTGAGAATGATGGGCATCTCCCACATGCATGCACAAATCATGGGAGTATAAGTCTTGAATGTTTGAATTTGAGTATGTTGGTGATAAGTTTGACATATTTTGGGACATGCATGTAGATAAATCAAGAAATTGAGCTTCCTAATGTTGTAATCTTGTATTGGTACCATGTTAGTATGCGTATATGTGAAATTTGAGCCTTAGCATGCATGAAATGTGGTTGGAATGTCGAATTTGAGCCCAAGAACACAATCTGGAAAACCCAGAATTTTGATGTCCGCTCGAGCGGGGTAATGGCCGCTCGAGCGGGAAAAACGTGCTCTCAGTACTTTTTGCGGACTTGGTGTCCACTCGAGCTGGTGAGTTCACGCTCGAGCGGGGGAGCTACTTAGACAGGCATTCCGCTCGAGCGCCCTATTCCACGCTCGAGCTTATTTTTCATGCAACCAATACTTTTGCAGGCCTTAAGGGTCCGCTCGAGCGGGGAAGTCCACGCTCGAGCCGGGACCCTGTTTTCTGAAATTTTGAAAATGCATTCTGTGTTCTGCTTTTCCGTTCCCTTTCACTTGTAAGCACTCTTAGGCATACATTGAGCATTGTAATTGAGTTAAAGAGATAAGAATGAAGCCTAAAGAGGAAAATGTGAATTTAGAACGGATTGAATTATTTGTGACCCATACGTGTTATGTGATGTGTAGGATCAAGCTCCAGGGCAAATCCACAAGCCGATCACTGTGAGTAATATCTAAAATACATATTGTTGTCCAATTGCTTACTTCTGTGTAAGTTTTGTAAAGTTCATTAATATTAAATGGTGGACAAGTTTGAAAGGCTTAAATGCCAGTTTGATATGACAAGTTTGAAAGGCTTAAATGCCAGTTTGATGTGAAAGGCCTATGAGCCAGTTTGATATGAAAGGCCTATGAGCCAGTTTGATGTGAAAGGCCTATGAGCCAATTTGATATGAAAGGCCTATGAGCCAGTTTGACACGAAAGTGTATATGGGCCGAAGGCCGTTTGACACGAAGGTGTATATGGGCCGAAGGCCGTTTGGTAATAAATGTGGGCCGAAGGCCGTTTGATGTAAATGTGGGCCGAAGGCCGTTTGATATAAATGTGGGCCGAAGGCCGATTGACATAAACGATTGGGCCGAAGGCCGATAGACATGAATGAATTGGGCCCGAGGCCGTATGATGTGTTTGGAACCTCAGTTACTTAACTTACATATGTCTATGTATGTATGTATGTATTAGTTGGAAATGCAAATTGGGCCCATGGCCGTTTGATGTATATTGTTCCAATGTATATTCTTTATTTGATATTATTCACTGGGCTATCGCTCACGCTCATTCATGTATTTGTAGGTGAGCCCAGAGAAGTCCAAACCTAGCCCCAGTGAAGTCTATGTGGAACAGCGGAGGTTTTGGAAAGTCAGCCTATGTGTCTTACGCATGAGACCCGCCTTCGCCTTTTTGACATTTTGTTCTATGTTGTCATGCTGGCGAAGTTTTTGTATATGTCTGTTTATAGTTTTTATGGGTTGACTTAGTTTTGGATGATCATGTCTGTACAGAACTTTATGGTACTGTATTCTGTTGTGAGTTATTAACATGTATTTGTATGGAATGTTATGATGTGCATATAAGCACGGCTCTATGGACAAAGTTTTAAATTTTTGCTTCCGTTTGGCCCCTCTTACTCTGATGAGTTTTGTCTTATTTGGTTTGAGGCCGTAGGTAATCTCGTGATTACTGGCCGGTTATGGCCTTAACCCATATGGGCGGGTTCGGATCATGACAGCACGGTTTTGTAAAGAGATATAAAATGTTTTGGCACGAGCATTGCATATGCATTCACCGTATAATTTTGTTAAGATTCATATACTGTGTTGGATTATTTCTACTGAGTTTTGGCTCACCCTATGTGGAAAACTATTTCATGATGATATGCCTCCGCCAAGAACACAGTTTGGGAGGAACTTGGAGCTGAAGGCTTCTTTTGTTTATTTGTTGTGTCTATTTTTGTATAAGCCTAGGGCTTTAACTGTATTGAGCTTAGACTCACTTTTGTTGTAACTAAGCGTTGTCTTGGAAAGTTGTAGCCTTTAGGGCATTTAATTATCTGTTAGCTTTAGATTTCGTATCTTTTGTTTATAACACATGCTACAGATTCAGGGTTACTTATGAATATATAACTGCATGTGTCATCTTTTGTACAAGTGAATGGTGAAAATCTTGAAGTGAAGAGGTACTGGAGAATTCAATTCATATAATTTAGAAAACATTGGCAAATATACCATAAAATAAAAGAAAGTGTACAATACAAAATTGTTATTACAGCTGGAAGTTCCTTCCTCTCACTAGGCTTTGCTTCCACCTGAAGAGCTTGAGACCCAGCACCAGAGTTATTATCTTGGGCCACTTTGGAGCTAGCTTGAGACAATTCTTTGGCAGAAGCACTTGAAGGACCTTGAGCATTCAACACAAGTGATGACGTACATGACTGCCAATGCAACCATAAGGCAATTGGTTTAAAAAATCAAAGATGTTGCAACCATTTCATCTCAAGCATACCCAGATTTTAACCAATTTTCACAGATCTCAAGATGTAAATTCTAGAATTTTTAAGGAAGAAATGAGCTATGAAGTGCCGACGCTACATTTGGACATGCCATGTGGTGTGTCAATCTTTAATTTAATTTTTTTTTTATTATTATTATTTTCCACACCTGTGGTGTGTCAATCTTTAATTTAATTTTTTATTATTATTATTATTTTCCACAGGACACTTTGGAGACACTTCAAAGACACGCGTGTCCTATGTTTTAGTAGAGTAATTACAGAACTAAATTTGGTAGATGTGCATGGTAGTGTGCTTATTGTGATGATATCTTCAAACAATGAGAATTGAAAAAATTTTGAAACCTCCACTTAGTATCAGGACTTGTGGTGATATCTCATTAGTCCAGGGGTATACAAAGGATGACATAGCAGTGACGTGCCATGTCGTGTGGGCAAGTGGATCCATTTACGTATGATGTTCATCACCTATCACATGAAACCACAGAATCTGGTCTATAATAATTGTTTCGATACTTTGTCTTAATGTTCACTGCAGTATATTAGGAAAGGAACCAGAACATGTGGAGTTTGAGTACTCACTACTTTATATGGTGAACTAACAAAATACGAGAACATGTGGAGTTTGATTTTTCTGACTAAATAAGCCAAAAAGTTGAAAGTTCGTTTGTCATCAACTAAATAAGTTAAAGACCTACTCAACTTTTCCACTCACGCTGGTTTTGGGAGCATTGAGTGCTGATTTGATGGGCATAATATGATATTAATCTATGACCCAATGTGTACTTGTTAGCCTAACTCTGGACTTATTTGTGACTATTTACGCTGTGTTTGGTTGGGGGATTTGAGAAGGGAAATGGAAAGGGAAATGAAAATGAAAGGAAAAGGAGAAAGAATTAATAGAATTCCAAATCCCAACTATGTTTGGTTGTGTTGGTTATAAAATAGAATTGATGTCCTAAAAGGTCTCCAATTTCTTTATTTATTTCTCACCCCCTTTCTTTTCCCATATATTTTTTATTATAACCAAACATAAATAGGATTACATTTCTCATTCCTTTTCCAAATCCCACCCCAAAAACCCCAACCAAACACAGCATTAGAGTTTGCGAAGAGCAAGTCATGGTAACCAAAACACTTAGTGGATCATATAAGTGTTTATCAGTCCAAATGAGGGAGGATCTTTGCAGTGTAGTAGGGAAAAAAAAACAAGTCACAAAACAAATAACTTTTCTACCAACTTTCTAAACACATTGGGTTTTTTAGATTCTAAAAGGCCAAAAATCAAGAGGACACTAACAAAGCCAATGCCAAACCCCCATAAGTGTGGACAACCAGTTGTAGGAAAATGGATAATCATTCCCAAAAAAAAACAACCGGCCCAGGACAATAATTTTGGACTTCGCAGTTTTCAATCATGAAGTTGTCTTCAGAAACAATTTCAATACACATTTCACATATTTTCATACACTACATATATTTTTATATATTTTACACATTTCAATATGCTTTTTTCCATAATGCATTACGAAAGGAGGTTACACCTTGACCAACTTACACACACACACAATAACATAAGATGCTATTATTGCATAATGAGGCAAAAGAGCCTACCTGAAGAGAGGAACCATTCTCACTCAAAGTATCCCAGACAGGGTGCACTTCTGGCGGACTGATCTTCTGCCTGCCTTTTTGAGAAACTGGTGGCACGCTCCTTGCCCTGGACTGTTCATTGGAAACCCTATGGATTTCAGATTGCCTACGACTTCCAAATCGATCATCTCGAAACCTGTCATCAACTATCTCAAAGTTAACAGGATGATTCCTGTGGCCTAAAGATCTGATAGTGTCTAGTTTGTGGTGGGGACTTCCTCTTTCATTAATATAATATTTTAAACTTCTGTCCTCAATCCTTCCTCCGGGACCAGGTCTTTCAATAGAATGCCACTCAGAGGAGTCCTCCCTGTCACCCTGTAGTATTAAAAAAAAAAAAAAAAGATTTTTTTTTAACAAGAAGATAAATTTACCTTGTGGGAATCCTAGAGAACATGGAAACTGAAATGAATGAGACAGAACATCATCAGTTAGCTGTTTTCTATATTAACTAGATCAATATGAGGTCAGCAAAGCTTTTCAACAGATAAAATGAATGTTATAGTTGTGTGGATATGTTGATGAGTAAGAGACATACTCCTTTCACCATTGCAAGCCTGCCCATACTTCTCTCCCCAGTAAATTTTCTATCCACATAGACACGCTTAATAAAATCCCGAAGTTTATTCTGATTACTAGATTGCAAAAAAATTGAATCAGATGGCACCTTTATAGAGTATCCTAACAGAACATAAATTAAAAAAACACAAGCACCTTCTATCTGGAAAAGAATGAAGCTGTGGTTCCCACTCTTTGAAGTAAATTTCCCTTGCTCTCTAAGCAAATGGTGAACAAATCAGCCAATGATAAGAAGAAATGTTTAAATCAGCAGACAGATTGGGAAGAGTAAAAAGAGAAAAAAGGGCAACTATATTTTCAAAACGTTGCACACCTCATTTCCCCCCAGCTTGAGGAGCACTAACTTCTTCTGCATTAAATTTAGCCATTGACACTGATTTTACTCGATGTGTGAATTTCCGACTACAATTGATTAAGAGTAATCAATCAGCCTAGAAAAATCTATCTGAATTAAAGTTCGATGATTTAATATGAAATAAAACCCAACAATCAATATTTCCATTATGCTGTGTTTGATTGAGGGATTTGAGGAGAGATTTGAAAATGGAAATGGAAATAGTGGGTGAAATGTGAATAAAATATACCTAAATTTCACATAGTTTCACACACATTTTCCCTTTCTGTTTCCAAATCCCCCAACCAACACAGCATTAATGTCTTGCAAAATCTGGGTATGCATCACATGCAGCTGACCTTGAATGGGAAAAGTAAGTGTGCAGAGTAGATGTAAGAACAACAGATTAATACTTACTGTACGCCACTACAGCTTGAGCAAACGAAGGTCCAGAAAGTTGTGCAAACATACTTCGGCCCCTGCTTGAAGAACATGTCAGCCTCAATATTGTAATTCGTAAAGTACTAATCAGAATTATGAATAGCCTTCAGTATGGAACTACAATTAAAATACCAGTGGATAAAACATATAATATTGTTGGCACCATAAATCTGCAATTTTTATTATTTATATAATTGCAGGATATGTGATACCCTCCTACTCATTTGAAAGTTATGACAAGTTATGAAATATGAATAGATGATGGAGAACAAAGGGGAGAACATGGAACATGAAGTGGAGGTTGAACGAAGTTATAGAAGATCATGAAATATGAAATGGAGGAGGTGGAAGAGTGGGTAGTTTTAGATAGTTTTTTCCTACAAATGTTTGGCTATAAATAGTCATCCATTGCTACATTGTAGAGGATCCAGACTCAGATCCAGAAACCAATTTATTTACTTTATATTTCTTTCTAGTTTTTACATTTTCAGTTCTTTACATTTCAACACTTCAATTCCTGTATTGTACTTCATTTCTTAGGAATAGTTTCAAGTAATCGTTGTTGAGAACCTCCGCGGGGCTGGGTCATTGTAAGTTCTCATTTTCTTAATGAAATTCAGTTCATGAATTGTTCTGTATTTGTTATTTCTTATCAATTTCTCCTAAAACAAGCCACCAGTAAAAGTCCTCTTAATTGAGGCTGAAAAAACTTCAACACATAATTAGTTGGCAATTAAAATCTTATAAGGACTGATTGATCTTTGTTGGCACGCTTAAAATTACATAATTAACTTTCAAAAGCCAAAGAAACCAACATATATTTTTGGCACTGTAGACGTCCCCGCGAACGCCCCGGGAGGATGAATTCCCTCGTTCCGTTTGTTTGTGGGCTTACTACAGTTCAGACTCAAATTGTCACGGTTCTTAATCTGATCTCACAATGTGCAATGTGAGATTGATAAATCACCAAAGAGTCCAAATCCGGCAAATCGTTTTGAAAAAACAGATTTTTAGAAAAAAGTGCCAAACATGAATTACTTTGCCAGATACAGAGTCGCTACCTAAACATTTATTTTGGGAAATTTAGGAAACCATGACTCGTTGCCTAAGGCCACGTGTCCGTCATCACCAAAGTTGTCTTGACTCGGGAACTTGGGTACGATTGGGGAAGGTCAACTTTGCCAGATACAGAGTCGCCACCTAAATATTTTTTATGGAAAAATTTAGGAAACCCTGACTCGTTTGCCTAAGACCACATGTCCGTCATCACCAAAGTTGTCTCGGCTCGGGAACTTGGGTACGATTGGGGAAGGTCAGCTATGAGCACCCCCGCTCGCTCAATCCGAAGATCGGCCTCTACTAACCATGATATCTAGTTTTGAAAACGTTATGTGTTCTTATTCCGATTAATTAGCTAATCTTACTATGTGATACGCACAACACAAAAGTATAGACTAGATCGCCTAATTTGGGACAAAGCATTACATATCCGTTTGTTTGGAAAATGGTTTGAAATTTGCTACTCGCAAGTAGGTTAAAATACGGATTTCAACGAGTTGTTCCAACTCAAGCAATCCAACCTTCACCCACGGGCATTCAGGCAGTAATATCACATAAGCACATAGCCACATGGTAAGCATGCTATCATGTTAACATTCACACTCATGCGAGATGCTAAAGCATAAATACTTACAGTGTACTCCAAGCCAAAACAAAGAACATGTTAGCAATCAAACGTATGATCCAAGTCCATGTTAAATGGCTAATGCATCATATGCAAAATGCAATCTAGAATAGGCTCGGCTAATCTTAGGATGGCATGTGAAATGCAACAAGTAACATGTATTCAAGTTAGATTTGAAATACTATGCAGTTAGCATGATGCGCCAAGCCCGGTGCATGCAATACTGATGAATGAATGCACGCATGCATAGCATAAGGTATGCTAAATTAAATATGCCCTAGTACCAACCATCAAAAGCAGGTAAGTAGAAGGGAGAAAGAAATGGGGGTTGGAAGACATGCACACACGCACCCACACTTATTACACATTCGCCTTCGCTCGGAGGGACCAAAAGAATAATACAAATTAATTAACCTACAAGCTAATTAATTATTACAGATCACCTAACTAGGTAAGCAAATTAACTAAGCTAAGAAAGCAATAAAACAGCCTCGGGAAGAGGGTCCAATGCATGTGTGCTCGGGTTTGCTTAGAAATCCATCACCATGCACAAGCTGCCTCTGTTTACCCTGCTTTGCTCTTCTAAAAATTGCACAAGTCCCAAAGAACATTCTCTGAACACTGTGGAGCATCACCGACCAAGGGGAAACATTACCGACCATGGTAGAAGGGTAATCGACCAAATATTCAACTTTCGGCCATCCATCAATGGTCGATGGGCAATAGATATGGTCGGCCGACCAAGTATGCCTGCAAAATCCTGTTTTGACAGCAGCAGAGGGCAAACATGGCATGGCAATGCATTTCAAGCAAATGTTTGCACAAACACCCTCCTTATCATGTTCATGACTCAAAGAAGAATGGTCCTCGACCCTTGGGCCACCAATCGCGCATTTCAATGCGTGATGGCCAAAGAGGCCAAGTTGTGCATTTTAATGTCAAATGTAATGCACATAAACACATAAGGAAACCAACCTCAATCATGGTGATTCAAGAGGCAAAGCATGCATGCCAAATGCAACCTAAGCATGTGAGCTAAGTATGCAATATGAGCATGAGGATAAGTAATATGAAGGTGCAAGCATGTAACAAGCATGCAAATGATATGTGACAACATGTTAAGTAACTACAAGGGGAATGCATGCCAAATACAACACAACTTTAAGCATGCAACAACATGCCATGGGCCAAGTATGTGACAACATGCCTATGGGCCAAGTATGCGACAATATGCAAGGCAAATGTACACACAAGCATTCATGCACACAATGGTTCAAAACTTCAACATGAGGGAATAACTTTTAAGCCCAAAACAGTGGCTAATATGCTAAGCACATGAAGGCAAATGTACATACAAGCACGCATAGATATATGGTTCAAGACTTAAGCATAAAGAAGAAACTTTTAAGCACACTTAAAAGGGACAAACATGGGCATATGGCAGGCATACTAAGCTCTAAAAATCATGTTAAGGATGGTGCCAAACCAACTAAACAAGACAAACAAGGCATGCAACTATGTCCAAAACTCAAGGCAAGCCAAGAAGCTCAAACCATGGCTATATGAAGCAAGTCCCAAAGGGCCATGGAGACTCAAAACCACCCCAAGGCAGACCAAAACAAGGTCAAAGGCACACCTAGATGGCATCTAAATGGCCTAAGTCTAAAGGCATGCGAAAGGGTCCAAACATGGAGCATGAAACACCAACCTTTTAAAGCATTAAAGGAGCATCAAATGCAAGCCTACAAACATACCACAAGGACTGAAACGATGTTACAAGTGGTGCCAAACCACTGAATTAAACCAAGTAATGCATGCTCAACACTCACACACCCAAGGCTAACAAGCCAAAATGCAAGGTGGCTATGCAAAGCATGTCATGGATGGCCAAAACAACTCCAAACAGACCTTAAGCATACTAAGACATGCATAAAAGCTTCACAAAGCTAGGCCAAAAACATGCTAGAAACAAGGCTCAAAGCACAAAGCATGTTAAGGCAATTCATGGCATTACAAGACAAGTATGCAAAGCAAGCATGGTGTGTCTAAACCAACTTAAAACAGTGCTATATCATGGCAAAATAAGCACAAATACTAGCTAAGACATGGCCAACATGAACTCAACAATGGTGCTCACACATGAGGCTAGAATGACAACTTTTGAAGACAACAAGGAGAGGTCCCTCTCCTTCTTAGGACCTTAAAGCACCATCCCACCACTGAAATCCCACTAGATTTCAGTGGTGAGGAGGCCCAAACAAGGTGGTCCCGGAGCTCACCAAAATAGCACAAAATGGGAGCCAAACAAGGCCTAAGAGGGGTCAAACAACCCCAAACACCAAAACAACCTTAAACAACTATTTTAAGCACTTAAAATCAGAACTTTTATATGTTATAAGTTAAGCTTAAAAACAGATGCAAGGATGGCTAAAAGCCTATGCAAAAATGGGAAATAAAGGGGTAAAGTACTTACCCTTGAAGACCTTCTTCACAAGGACCACTCCAGCCCCTTCTCCATGCTTAGATCAACTCAAAAACTCTGAAAATCACTCCTTAGTACCTCAGTAGCCAAAGGAAAGTGTAACTCTAGGTGTTTGTGTGCAAAACTATGAACAAAACACCTTAATACACACACAATATGGAAGAGAGAGAGATAGAGAGATAGAATAGATACAACTATGCTAACCCTAATCTAGAGTTTTGGAACTCAACCCTCTAACCCTTGAGGAGGGAGGAGAAGGCCTCCCTTTATAGAGGATCACTCTTGCAAAGCTTACAAAACAAGCTAAGCAAGAGTGAAATCCCTCCATACACGTGTATGAAGGGAGTGCAAAGTGGGTGCCAACTAGCACAGCTGGTACAAAATATCTGCCAAAAGCAGATGCACAGTGGTCAGCCAGCCAAAAATGCCAAATTGACCAAATAACTGGTCGACCGACCAAA